TTTTCATGAAAATATAGAAATATTACCCAAATTAAACTATGAATAGTCAAAAGAGGACATTTAAATCTACAAGATGTAGAAATAACAAATTGGTCTGAAGCAGGGATAACGCTCAATTAGACCAATTCAATAAAATACAAGTCTCGATTTTGGGAAAGAAGTTCATCAGTGTACTGCGCTAATATTTCTTTTGTGAAAAATCTAGAAATATTACCCAAATTAAATTATGACTATTCAAAAGAAGACATTCAAATCTACATTATGTAAAAATATCAAATTTGTCCGAAGCAGGGATAATGCTCATTTAGATTGATGAACTTCGTTCTCCAAACCGAGAATCGTCCTTTAGAGATTTACGTGCAAAGAAAACCAGAAGCTTTTTCTGTGAAATTCCGAAAAAACACACTAAATATCACTAAAAATTCGTCGCTTTAACCGCTTTTTGGAGAAAAAATGATGACGAACTCTATAATTGCCAACTGTATTTCTTTGGAAATTCGACTTATCTGATGTATTCTTTAATTAAGGATTTCTCAAGCTTTTGACTCAGTGCAATGTCGGAATGACCATTTCTCGAAGGTATTGCTTTCCATTACTAAAATATAAAAAATCATTAAAAGAACATATTTTCGATGACACTTTTTCCAAGGGTCAAATTGGCAAAGAATCAATTTGTTTTTTTAAATACGACTTGCGATATTTTGTAGAGCTCATTCTTGATCTAGGACGGAGAACAGCCGGACAGATTATTTTTGTTTCCAATGTTTTATAAATAACTGTGTAGATAGAAACAAATGGAGTTGCGTCTAATTCTAACCTATTGGTTTCCCCGGGTTAGTTTCATTGGGATCGCCTCTGTATATACATGTAAGTACTGGCCCCTTTGTTGACCTTGGATGTGTTGACAGTGGATTTATCTGTTACAGAGTATATTGTTGTCTTTTTAATCTTATTGTACGATTACTTTCCATAAGGTATATTTTACAATTGCAACCTCCCTTGACATATTTACATAGAGAACCTAATGTCATTAAAAAACGTATTGATTTAAACATTAAAATCCCAGTCTTTTCATTAAGCTCCCTCTCAGGTAGCTTCTTTAACATGACTTTCCAAGGAGTGGTCAAGCAAAATAGTTATATTTTCCCTTGTTGTTCTACAAAACGTGCACATAAGGTCGATGAAAACTAAAATTTTCGAAATCGACAACATTCGTCCGTCATCTTGAGTGCGAAGGTGGCACACGTTACCTTCGCTTGATATCCAACAGTGTATATGGCCTTAGCCAGGACATTCCTGCCAGACCTTGACTTGTCTGAAATAACCAAATTCTTATGTGAATAATATGATGTCTTTCTAGTCAGTGTGGCGGTCTTTAGCAGATTACAGTTGAGTTAGGTAAGTGACTTGTAGACGAAAGGGTCTCTAAAGACTTGCCATAAGTCTAAGGTAATATAATAAGTAATAAGGTAAACAATTAATGTATTGGAACAAGACAATTAATCAATAATTATAAACCACCATACAGTACATGTAGGCAGAATTTTTGTTGACACATATAATATATGGTCTGCAGGCCCGAAGCCAGGAGAGCTGGGGTAGCGGAAGCTCCCCCCTGGCCAGAAATTCTTTCAAAATTATGCAGTTTTTCACCATTCTGAGAATTTTTCGAATGATTTTTAGCCAAAATTGTGAAAAAGCTCCCCCTGGAAAAAAGCTCCCCTTCCTGGTAAAAGCTGGCTACGGGCAAGGTCTGGTGGTTTTGTTTGATCTAATACGCTCATAAGTTTACGAAGGTGTGCTACAGAGACGGCACTGACTGCTAATATAGTCATCTCTATCCAAAAACCTATGCACAAGGGACACAGTACGAAAACAAGCACATGTATTTCAAGTTGTGTAAAAGCCATGAAGTTTATTATTATTACATGGATATATCAATATTATACAAATAGACACATGCACAAAAGATATGTTTTCATATTATAATTGACAATCATACTTGCACTTTTCGTTTAAAGGGTCTTGGTTCAGTTAAATAAGTTTATTCCAGATCAAAACATGCCCCAAATATACAAAGCAATTCTTTGTGTCACTTACTGATGTGCGACTCTGGGTGACAAAAAACACACTCTACTATACCCAGGGGCGTAGCCAGCTTTCAGTCAGGGGGGGGTGCGATCGCCGAAAATTTTTCAGTTTTCGGTCAGGGGGGGTGCGATTTTGCCATAAGCAACACAAAAAATTAAGATTTCTTTTGAATTTTACAAAAATTGATGCAACTTCCTTCAAAATTGAGCTAGAAGCTTCAAATAAAAAGCATTTTAAAGCTCTTTTCTACCTCTATCCAATGGTCATATTTTCAAAGGTTATGGGGGGGGGGGGGGGGGGTGCGATCGCACCCATCGCACCCCCCCTGGCTACGCCCATGACTATACCTGACCCCTAGAAATGCATAAGATACTCTGTTTGTCTAATTGAATTGTTTAGTACATTTTTGAAAGTACCTTATTAACATTCTAACAATCATCCAATAAACATTAATAAGGAACAGACAAATAAAAACAAATAACAAAATCATTATTATAAGCCAAATGAGCTGCTCATGAACACCAAATTCAAGGTATAGTAGAGTGAAACAGGACCCTTTAAACTATGTATCATTTAATTCAACTTTTTAAAAATTAAAACCAAATATACAGAAAATGTCATGTATAATTTGGCCTACATAAGATAATATAGAATTTGATTAAAATATGTATCAACTTTTTAGGAGAATTTATGTAAACAGAGATGAATGCAATTATAATGCAGTTATTCATTAGATGTATATTTAATAATGTATACCCCTATCAAAGTAAACATGAGTAAAATTGAATCTTTGGGATGTGGTGTAAAATTTATAAGTTCAAGAGAACATGCTGAGTGGAAGACATCCGAAAGTGGAACATCCAAATTAGCGAAACACGTTTCGGTTGTTACCCCATTAACATAAAGAAAAATTAGCCTATATAATTTAGACCTCTCAAAGTGGAACATCCAAATTAGCGAAACACGTTTCGGTTGTTACCACGTTAACATAAAGAAGAATCAGCCTATAATAAATTGAACAACTCCAAAGTGGAATATTATTTTGAGGTCTCACATGTATTTTCCTTTCATATGTTTTGCAGTACTGTAGTTATATTCGTCATAACTATACAGTACTTGGATGAAGATTCTATAAACAATCCACTTTTCTCTCTATAGATGATCAGGATAGAGCGAATAAATTCACCAATTACAAAATGAAAGTTATTGTAAAATTGTGAAAGAATTGGTAGCGAATAACAATATGGTGAACTAAATTAAATTGAACACATTTTCTCTCAAGCCAGTCATCAAAAAATTCTGAAAAATTCACACATCAATTATCGCTACCAATCCTAATGGAATATATTCACTGATTCTGGCATATATATGAAATTAAATATCCCTAGCCTAATCCATCTCTATTTTCTAAGTACTAGCTATTTAAGTAAAAAACAGATACTAACCAAATATTTCATTTACAATCTTGAACATACTTGATCATATGTCAGTATGTACTTACTTAATTTTTATACTTTTACATATTTTTCATTTTGCAATATTGCTTACTGTGGCAAACTAGCTTGTAAGGCATGCTAGGAGAGATCAGACTAAAATACATTTACAATCTAGACTACAAAATGCTACTATGTACTGCACTGTACTGTACTGTACTTCCAATGTATTTTACTAGGTCTACATACTAATTTTATGATTGTATATTAGTTTATTGTGTGAATACATCACTATGTATATAACATACATATTGTATATATATTCTATACAGTAGAACCTGTACATGTATATCTGAACAACTGGCTAATCCGAACAACTCCCAATAAGAACACTTTTTTCGGTCCAATTTTCCCTCCCATTTTCTCCTCCTATTGACTCCAATGTAAAACTTGAAATGTGAACACCTCCCAATTTGAAGTGAACAGTCATATTTGAAAAATTCACCTGTCTAGATGTTTCATACAAACAAAATTGCTCAAATATTGTCATGATATCAGAACTTTGGGAAAAGATTTTGAATGGTCACATTCATAATGGGGCTTTCCAGCATGAATTTTCAAATTTCTGGAATGCCATAAAGCTATGTGGTCAAAAGAACTATAAATATATACCATGAATGTGTTCACATTTCTTCAAAATCCAGAATATTGCGAATGCAAAAACTTTGAAATGTGAACACCTTCTAATCTGAACGCTTTTAGCCGGTCCCACTGGCGTTCGGATTAGACAGGTTTTACTGTATAAAGTGTATACATATATCCTTGCCTCTCAACATGTTTTGATTAAACTTTAGTTGAGTGATTGTGTTATTCATTTTGTGCCATTGGTGTTTACAAATAAAATCTCAACAAGTAATCAAGAATCAAATCTCAGTTTAAATAACCAGATCGCATACAGCCAAACAAGCAATGCTGGCTTTTCAAAAGATGGTGAGAGGTAGGTATCTGAATTGCCATGATGTTTGTTCATTATATTCAAATATCTAATATTAAACAGTATCTGATGTACCAATGTCGAGTAAATGGATTAATTTGCCTTCATTGGTTCCCATTGCACAGTTCACGCTTCCAGGGTGTGACATAAGCGAAGGTTCAGAACCTTTGGATCATAAATTTATGTAACCTCAAAATTTATCCAGAACATATTTTCCCATTGCGATGATTCAGAGAGGAAATTATCCTGTAATTCATGTATTCAGACAATATTTGAGATAAATATCATCATAATCTAAAGTTGATGAATCTTAAATCAAAATCGAATGATTGTACAAATTCACCAAACATTTATCTGGATACTAGTAATTAATTTGGAAAATTCCAGGATAAATTCTTGATTTTAGCCAAAATGTAAAATATTCATATAAATTTTGGCCTGTAAATTCTTATGGCACACCCTGCATGAGTTTTCCTTACAAATTATCTCAGATTGGGATCCATATAGCGTTGGGAATCCATATACTGGTGCCCCTCCATATACTGGTTTTGACCCATATACTGGTTAGCATCTAAATGTTGATTTGGATCCATATACTGGTTTGCGTTCATGTGCTGGTTAGGGTTTGGCAGGAACTGGTTTGGGCCTGGCCCTGGTCCTTGACCAATTGGTTGGTTTCTATCCATGTACTGGTTAGGGTTTGCAAATGGAGGAGGCTCCATAGGTACATTCTCCATTCGGTTAGATTCTAGTGGAACGTTGACCATTTCTGTGAATCGTGGGTTTGGAGAATCGACTGGAGACTCAACCAGGCCAGAATTTGGAGATTCTTCAGAATTTGGGGACTTATTAAAACCAGAGTTAGGTGGTGGATTTGTATTATCTATGCCTTGGTTAGTGGGCATATTCATTCGATCATGAATAGGTGGCATATTTCCTCTCTCATACATTCGTGAATTAGGTGATGCATCGTGCCTGTCACCTTCAAACCTAGGGTTAGGAGGCATGTTTAGTCTGTCATATAACCTTGGGCTAGGAGGCATGTTTGATCGATCACCTAGTCTTGGACTTGGAGGCATTCCTGGTTGTTCAAAATGCCTATGTATTAAAGGCATGTTTTCTCTCTCACCTGGCCTGCTATTTGGTGGCATGTTCATGCTTTCATATGATCTTGGCATCATACTTGATCTTTCCATTGATCTAGGATCATTTGGCAGCATGCTTGATCTTTCCATTGATCTTGGGTCATGCTGCATGCTTGATCTTTCCATTGATCTTGGATCATTTGGTAGCATGCTCGATCTCTCCATTGACCTTGGATCATTTGATAGCATGCTTGATCTTTCCATTGATCTTGAATCATGTTGCATGCTTGATCTTTCCATGGATCTCGAATCATGTGGAGTGTTTCCTCTTTCCATGGACTGTGAATCATGCTGTGTATTCATGCCACTTGGCCTGTCTAATGACATTGAGTCTGGAGGTGTGCTCACATTATTTGGTCTTTCTACAGACCTTGGTGGTGTGTTCATTGGGTTTGATCTATCCACAGTCCCTGAATCAGGTGACATATTTGATTTTTCCAGTGGTCTCGCGCCTGGAGATAAGTTTGCACGTTCACTTGATCTTGGTGACATGTGTTCACTCTCAGTTGATCTTGATCGAGGTGACATTGTTGCCCTTTCCACTGATCTAGAATCAGTTGCTCTCTCAGATTTTGCTTTAGATGGTGTGCTTGTTCTCTCCATTATTCTAGAGTTAGGTGGAACATTTCCTCCCTCAGTAGGCCTTATTTTTGGTGTTATTTTATTCCTTCTTCCTGGTCTTCCTTTAGGTTTTTTAACCTTCTCTTTAACATCAGGTTCCGACGGAGCACTACGAGGTGAACTTGAACATGTTGGTCCATCACCAGATTCGTCCATTTTAGCATCCTGTGGTTCATTTTCTGTTTTAATTGAATCAAGTCCATCATTGTGAGAGGAGATTGGATTTGTTTGCTCATCTGTTGTTTCATCTTGTGCTATATCAGAAGTGTCATTTTGTTGCATACTGTCTCCTTCATTGAAGCTTGAATTACCAGCACCAGTGGTTGTTTCAGCTGTACTTGAATCTGTTGCAGATGTTTGCCCTTCACTGCACTTCTTAGCATAGCGCTTCACCTCTCTATGACGTTGGTGTGCAACAGTGTGAACAAACTTGTATGGTACTCCAAATGTTTCAGCCATGAATGCTACAAAATATGAAAAATGCAATACTAATATGAATGCTTTAGTTATCACAAATTTCAATAGTGATACAGGATATATTCCACAAATGATAACATCTTATCATCCACAAAAGCGAAGCACGATAGGCGATACATTGTACCTGAGTGGAACATTTCCTGTATCTAATAAGCTGAAACGTGTGATGATAATTTTATGTCTAGGACCTCATTATTGAACTGTAAAAGCTGAATCTTTCAGGGACGTCCTGTTTCTCATCCATCTTCACATAGAATCACAATATCACATAGAATGGAGAATATTTGAGTCAGCAACAATGACATGATGCAAAGTTCAAATGTGATTACATAATATGGCATCATACCGTTATCTTCAGCTCTGAGAAGATACAAACAGTGATGTTACATCATATCACATGAAAATGAGTCATGTGATAAGGAAAATGCATCATCACAATTGACCTATCAGAATGCATAGAAACTCCCGGTCATGTGATAAATTATAGTATGCAATGATGAATGAATTTTATGGATATTGAACATGCAATTTCAATTCTTCCTTAAATATTTTTATTACACCAGATGGCTATTATGCACCCCCTATGTTGTCAAAATATGTCTACTGCCATCAACAAATGCATTAAAACCTGTCCTTTGGCTTTGACATTACCTTTTATCAGGTCAAGTCTTGGCCCAAGCTCATCAAAGGTAACGATTCCTCCTTTCCCTTTGGATGCATATAGGAGTTCTTGATTAGTGAACAAGTTGTTGATCAGATCTCTAGTCGCTTTATACTGGCCCTTTGAAGCATACATGTTGATTGCTTGGTCTTTCAGATGTTTAGGGATCTCCTAAAAATGTATGAATTCTAAACAATTGCAGATTTTAATCTTTACATTGTAATTAACATTTATAGCATGACCAATAACACAAATTGTTACACAATGATATTATCAAGTTTTTTTTGTTTTTTTTTTAATAATCATTTATATCATATATATATACTATACATGCAATAATACAGTGGTAATGTTTGACTAGGTTACAAGTAACATTATTGTCAAACTGATATCAAGGTCAGAATTATGAGACATGACATTATGATTTCAATTCTATTGCTTTTAGCAGAAATTGGAAATTTGGGGCAACAGGAATTGGAAATCAGCTGTATAAAATTCAAATTCAAATCTTATTCAAATATAAATACCAATACACAAGACTTGTGACTCAACCAGAGGTTCAGATCCCCACTCGTATACTCGTAATTTGTCAAATACGAGAAATAATTTCAAAATACTTGCCATTCGTACGAGTATGGCATGATCATATTTGTTTGTAGCTTTACATCCCCTTTTAACCACACGTTTTGTCAAATGAGACGTTTTTCCAAAAAGTTTAAAACTTTTTCCAATCATAACTTTTCTCGGGAGATTTCAGGTGTATTTCCAGCGCAAACATATGATATAAGCCTGGATATAACCCCGGGGAAAAGTTGCCTGCAAAATCTATATTGTAAATGCTCTGCGCAATTTAACCTGTATCCCGTACGCATGCATTATGCAGTGTCCGGTGAAATTCTGGGATCGGTGATCTCTTAAAACCTTTTTTACTGAGCGCTTGAACCAGTTGGAGACTAAACCCCGCCCCTTTAGGGACCTAGTCGAAGCTTTGCACCAAAAAATTGAAATTTTTTTTAGAATTCAACCACGGTTATGGGAAGTCCTCCACATATTACTTATATTATTTGTATCATACCTCCTAGATGGAGGACTTCCCACTATCCGTGAATTCAACCCAGAGCAATTAATCTATTATCCCTTCTATAAAACCCCAAAAATCTACTCAAGACATAATCAGAATAAAATACCATGAACTAACATACCTTGGAGAAGATAAATCTGAAGTGAAAATGACAGATAATCAACAGTATTTGAGAAATACTGAGTTATTTATCCTTGCCGAAAAACCGGAAGTGAAGGGTATGGCTTGCCAATTCAGCAAGATTTAATTCAGAATCAGACTGAGTTTATGAATATAACAATTCTAGTGTTTGCAGTGATTCAATTAAAGAATTGTGAATATGTATTGCATATTTATTATAATATTGTGCACAAATGTGACATACATCAATAAATGTAAATGGACAAATTCCTGGTAAAAAGGACAATGCCAGCAAAGGAGGTGTCAGTCCAGGGAGTCAGTAGAAAGTTGAAGGCCTAAACCAAGGGGGTCCTCTGTAGGCCCTGGGGTTTTCGGACAAAAGTTATTTACTTTCAATTACAAGTAATTTTTTAAAAATACTAGTAAAAACTCATATGAGTAATTTTTCAAAAAAACTTGTTTTACTGAGGATCTGAAACTCTGGACTCAACCTCTGATGGAGTTTTAAGAAAATTGTTGAGTAGCTGCATGAGGTTTTTGGCTCTTTCAAAGAGGAGTTTTTGGTATCAGTGTTGGAAGGTTGAGCCACTTTAACATAACAACTAAAATAGAGTACACATATACTTAGAGGGTTGAGCCACTTTTACATAACAACTAAAACACAGTACACATTTACTTACGGTCATCTGGAATAACTCTAGTTGCTTTGGAGTTTGGGGTCTCACACATTCAGGAAGTTCTCCATATGCCATATACCGTTTGGGGGTTGATCGTGGCTGCAGCTGCAAAACTTCACCATAACGCTTGGGTATCTGCACTCTATAACAGCCTGGAAGGTCACCATATTCGCTATAATCAGTGCCGAATCCAATCATTTGTGACTTCATGGACTGGAGAAAAGCTGCAGGAATAAAATGGATTTAGTTCGTTCAGTTTAGAATACCCCTACACCCCCAAAATGCAATCTGATTTTCGATGCCATTTCGGGGCCAAATTTTGGCAAATTTTAGTGTCTTAAGGTTTCGGTGCCGGAACGGTGCCAAAACGGTGTCGGAACAGCGCCCAATGTTTTCGATGGCGAAACGGCGCCGAATTATATTGGCAGTGTGTTGAATTGTATCTATTGAACTCAGTATGTAAGTTAGAAATTTGGGACACCATGGACTGAAAAGGCTGCATTAGTGAAACACATTACTTCATTCAGTTAAGAATCTTCTACTGAAATTAATAATAGCTCATAACTCAGTATGTACGTTCATGTTAAGCAATGATGTAACAAGGATGAGCCTTATAAATAGACAATCATGACAAGTGTTGCTGTGTTATTCTTTTAATTTCTTCATGATTTTTTGACAACTTGATAGAAATCAATTCCATTTGGTATGATGCCAATATATATTTTAATTAATCACATTAGCATGACTAATGATACATACAAGTGTAGCTTACCAATATCCTGTTATAGGCCTGTACAGAATTTGAATTTAATAACATCACTGACCTGCTGTTTGGTGAGTCATGCCAGGGGGTAGGTCTTCATTACTATCATCCCCACCCATCCAACTTGCACCTCCATATGTATCTGCTCCATCATCTCCATCATCATAGTCGTCTTCTTCTAGTTCTAACTGTATTGGTTCCTCCTTGATTTCAACATCATCATTTGATTTTGACTGTTTTTCACTAGGTTCATCCGTTCCATTCTCGGTTTGAGATTCACTTTTGCGTTTGTTATTTGGTTTTTCTTTTTCATCTGCTTAAAAAGAAAATAGCACAAAAGTAAAATAAGATTCTTAATTCAAATATTTGTACACATTTCAAGATTTAAATTGCAATTTATTCCAACGATTCAACTGAATTAAAAACCTTAGAATGTAATTAAAGTATATTGCTTATATGATCAAAGTAGTCAAATATACTGATGAATAATTTTGATAGGATTGTAATGATACCTTTGATATCTCCACCAGGAGTTGATTGTGTAGCATCAGTTTTTGATGGTTCTTGTGCCTGTTTACTTGGTGGTGGGTCACGGGATAACTTTGCCATTATCTCTCGATGATTCACAGAACCTGTGGTTGGATGAGGTTTTGGAATTTTTGGGAACTTCATGTCCTTTAAAGCTGCATTAAGTTTAGCACTATCCATCCAACGTGGAGTTCGTGCATCCAAACTATCTGGTGGCTTTACTATCGTTCTGTGCATTTTAATCACAACATCATGTGTAGTCTCTCCCCTTGACACACAAATAATACCATCAATTTCAAGAGAATTTTGAAACGTCATGTTTTGAGTACATAGTTTCAAGATGGCGTCTTGTATCATCTTTGACAGCATGGGATTTGACGTCCCCATTTTGTATATTTAGACTCTGAAAAGAAATAATATTGATTCATTTTCCTGATAAAACCGCTAAGGTAAGGGTGCATGTTCAGAATTTTGCTCCAACTCTCAATAGGGTCACATGTTATTTCTCAAATTTGAATGACTCCTTCCCCTCAATGTCTACACCTCTCACTTTTGCACAACGAGTGCATTAATGTACCTAGAAAAGAATGTAGAGAAGAATGTTTTGATAAAATGTATTAAAAACAAGAAAATTCAGTGAAAAAATTCAGAAAATTTTCAGAAATTTTTTTCACTGAATTTTCTTGTTTTTTCTACATTTTACAAAACAAATCTTCTCATCGGTCTTTTCTAGGCACATAAGTGCACTCTTTGTGCAAAACTGGAAGATGTAGATAATGTGGGGAAGGAGTGATTCCTGGTTGAAAAATAACATGTGACTCAATTGAGGAATGCATACATGCAATCTATTGTAAATTTTATATGTGGACATGAAATGCCGGAAGGTGATTTGCCCCAACCCTGTCTATTCATTGTATATTTGTTTGTATTTATGAGATAAACCTATTGATTAAAAAAAAATTGAGGAATGCAGAAAACATGCAATCTGGCCTTATATCTCTGTATTAGAGACACTTAAGATTGAAGTATGATACCTTTGCAATTTGAGACAGTGAGAACTTTTTTAGCGCTAAGAGAACATTAGGGTGGTGTTTAGAATAGATTGAGGTAAGAAATACAGTCATGATCATAAATAATGATTATTGCATGCTATCAAGTGTTTTCAGTACGCTTGTCCAAGATTGTGTCCCTGGGACGTACTGATTTTCAAAAAATGTGTCCCCCCTCAAAAAACTGCGTCCCTTGAAAAAATGTTCCTGGAATTCAAAGTCACATTCTTATGCTGGACAAAATAAAATTGATAAAATTTTGTATCATTTTTGCTTTTTATCGGACCTTAATCAGCGTTCTAGAAAGTCTAGTATGTCATTGAATGATACAGATACAGACATTTTCTATTTGCTATTGATTTTGATGGCTCAGAAATATCTAGCTTTAGGGGCAATCTGCGCGACGCGAGGTTCCAATTTCAGTTTCTTGCGCATACGCATTATTAAATAATGATCATGTGATCGCACTTGACTGATAGAAAATGGTTTAAATCAGGTCTTCAGCTAACGGCCAATCATAGGACTCATACTGATTACTGCTCGGAAATCGAGTATGGATAACTATTTGTCCTATCACATGCTTCGTACAATTTTGATCAGAAATCAACTGAGAAGGAAAATTTTATTTCTTTTAGATGTTGATTTTGTGCATATGATTACACCACAAGGAGGATTGGCTCCCAGAATGCAACATAACACTTGACAGCTTTCAAAATGCAGTCCTGACATTTTAAAACTTGTCACTTATAAAGCAAGTTAAAGGTCACAATACCATATGTGGAACAGAATATCGATGTTGCAATCTGGGAGCCAATCCTCCTTCACAACAATGGCGATCCATGAAGACATGCATCTGGTTTTGTAGGAATGTGCCCATCATTTGCAGGTATGAAGCCTTGGATTCATTTATTGTACAACTTAAAGTGAACGGGAATTAATCGACTGTTTGGGAGAGTGAGAGTTAAAACTAAGGCTTTAAGGTCAGGGTGCATGATGGGAAATTTTCTGCATTCCTCAATTGAGTCACATGTTATTTTTCAAACAAGAATCACTCCTTCCCTTCATTGTCTATATCTTCCAGTTTTTCACAAGAAGTGCACTTATGTGCCTAGAAAAGACTTGTGAGAAGAATGTTTTGATAAAGTGTATAAAAAACAAGAAAATTCAGTGAAAAAAATCAGAAAATTTTCGGAAATTTTTTTCACTGAATTTTCTCATTTTTTATACATTTTACAAAACAAACCTCCTCACAAGGCTTTTCTAGGCACAGAAGTGCACTCTTTGTGCAAACTTGGAAGATGAAGACAATGTGGGGAAGGAGTTATTCATGTTTGAAAAATAACATGTGACTCAATTGAGGAATGCAGAAAATTTCCCAACATGCACCCTGTCCTTAACTCATTGTGACAACTGTTGATGGATGATGTTTGTTAATGTCAAATAGTTTATATGTGTGACTGAGGCTCAGTGCCAATATATTTTGACATATAACATGATAAGTTTAGTTTAGATCTAATCATGAGCTTTCAGGAACAACTTTCAGTGCAGTTTTTGTTCACTCGTCTTTATGGACGACTTGTTTGAATTCTAGACTACAATTAAGCTACAAAACTGATAAATTCTTGATGATGACGTCACAAATAGGATCTACTGATTGAAAAATAACCCACAACTTCTTTCAGTTGATACCAATCGGATAAAAAAGTAAATCAAAGCATATAATGCAAAATAGATTATAACTTCAGGCATGTAAAGAGATGGACTCTAGCTTCGTAAATAGCACCATACTCACTAAATCGCCTTTATTTGGAGGAAAATTTCTCCATGAATTTGGTCGCCTTTCCCAGCCTTCTTTTTTGAAGAGTTCTGTCCCTGAGAGCCTTGAGAAAAAACACAATTTCGTCTTATTCTATGAATAAAACTTAAGTTTTCTCTACTTATTATCTAATTTATAATAATTCAATTACTGTAAGTAATTAAAAATGAGTATATGAATTCCATAGACTTGGTAATACGCTTGAAATAATACCGTGGATAATGACAGGTCCCTAGAATGCTCTTCAAAAAAGAAGATTCGCCATTTTGAAAAAGTGACGGGAATTTTCAGTGATGATTTTCTAGTTTTAGCGTAAGAATCAGATGTGCATTTACTTTAGAAGTATGCAATTCCTTTTGTATTATTTCTGACCCTTATATTTAAATACTAGAAATAAGAGACACACAAAAGAAATCGATGATAATGAACATTTCAACATCTATTTCTTTGTTTCATTTTATTTTCCTGGCCGAGCTTTAGGCTACTAGACTATATTTGCACCACAGGCACCAGTATCGCCACCTTTTAACAGTCGGATTAGAACGATCTAAAGCCCTTTAAAATGCACGGGTTGTTTTATTTCATCAATATCAATAAACAGGCATCCTTGCTCTATAGAAATAAGTAGTATAGAAATAGATAAGTCACATGTGAGCAGATCTGGACAATATGGTGCATTGGCCAAGGGCTCAATTTTTAGGTCCAGGGATATTGTTTTCTGAACATTTTGAGATCTGTGGGCAGGTGCATTGTCCATATGGAGTAGGGTGTTCACTTCTCTCACCACCCCTTTCTTCCACAATGCTTTCTCAAATTGACCTGCAAACCCCTTCCATACAACACTCTGACATCACAATACTTTCTGTTTATGTGTTGACCAGTCAGCAAAGTATTTCAAACAACACAACACATGTTGCATATGAAAAGTTTAAATCCAACTGAAATTTGCCATACTGGCTGAAAACTGAATATGTGACGTAAATGTCGGTCCCGGGGTACCTGTACCTCCTTCACGGAAATAAAGATATATCAACATGTATTTTATATTTTGTCTCCAAATCCTCAGAAATGATAGATAATTGAATGATGTATCACTGGTAGGAAAATCAAAGGGATTGGTCTATAAAAAGTATCTGTGTAAAAAGGCGTCCATTACTTATTGATCACCCCTCGTATAATGTGGCAAAAGAGTCCAAACTGAGAACGTAATGTCTCCTGGGTGAATTTTATGGTGTTTTTTCCTATGACCATTGCGCATGTACAATAAAAAATCAACCAATCAAATTTGAGATGCTCAGAAAATATGCGCAGAGAATTAGACAAAATCGGTTGTAGATTGCCCTTAGTGCGAGCTATTTTATTTAGACCTACACTTAAGCTTAGGTTCCTAGACCTAGCTAGGACTAGAGTGGAAGCTTATCGTGGTCCACAACTTACAGTCAATGTTGCTGTATTATAACCTTTGACCAGTTTTATCCCGCTCTGTACACCTAAATTACAAACCTCAATACATTCTTGAACTCTAAATGATGTTTTTCAGTTAATCAAACCCATTTCTGCTAACCAGTGTTACCCAACTCTATAGCGCTATTTAAGGTGACCTAATTATGCGATGATGAGAAGACCCCATTGGTTTTCCAGCAGAACAACCAATACAGACTCTCCTTATGAGTAACCTTGTGGTTAGATGGTAAAAACACCAAAAATTATTTCATGTTTTTATGTGATTTCAGATAATCAAGACGAGACCTAAATCAATAAACTCAAGAAACTTAAAATGGGATCCAGATCACACAATCCAATGCTAACGAGCATGATTCAGGATGCCATCTTGAAACTATGTACTCAGAATATGACTTTTGCAAAGTCCCTTGAAATAGATGGCATTATATGTGTATCACAGGGAGAGCAGCTTCCAGAAATAGTCGTGAAAATGCATAGAACAATCGTAAAACCACCAGTTAAGGAGGAAATAAATATTATGCTAAAAAAAAACAAAAAAAAAACCACCAGTTAATCGAGAACAACCAGTAGTTTCGAATTCCTGGACATATGCAGATAACACCTTTCAAGGAAACATGTATCCTCAAGTCAATACATTAACTCCACAAACTACTCAAAAGGACTTTACAGATCAAACCCCCGCCCCAAATACTTCATACTCCTCCACTCCGGGTATAGCAGAGAATCTCAACATGACCCCATCTACAAGTAGACATGACACACCAGAAACTCAATTGCTGACTTATGAACATACATTACCAGAGGCAACTCAAGTGACCCCCGGTGGTAATGTTGCAAAGGAAGTCACAAATATAAAAGGTACATGGGATATTTACTTATTAGAAAATGTTTTACAAATTGAAAAATTCTTTCATCCCAAAATATGATCTAAATTAGCTGATATCTAACATGTATAAGTTGAAAATTGTAATTTTAGAATCCCATAGGAAAAACTGTACTCTAAATTAGTGCTTTACAAATTTCTTTCATGGTGTTTGATTTCAAAAATATAAAAGAAAAACAAAATGTGATTTAATTTGGCCGAAAAACTTTGGCAAAAAAATAGAAAGAATTTTATTTGACTGATGTTGAGCAATTTTGAGAATTTGTGAATTTGACAGGATGAAACTTACCATCTCGCAAATATATCATTTACTGAGGGAGACTGCAAAGGAAATTCCTGGGGATTATTTTTCCGTATTTAAATTGGTGATAACTTATGAGTCCTCGCCAAATTTGCCAGACTAAAGTGGGTGCCAAATTAGGTAGCAGTACAACATCTTGAATCTGAAAACCTTGAACTTAGTTAACATTATGTATTTCAGTTGAGGCTTCTACAAATAAGAGGCCAAGCATTACCCAATATGCAGTAGAAGATCCCCCTCCGAAAAAACAACTCAAACAAGAAATAAAAGAAGAACCCATTACACTAGATCTAGATGATGAAGATGATGTTGGGGGTTATGATGAGGGTGGTGGAGTTGATATGGGTGATAGTGAACCTGGTGAATCCACTGCAGGGAATAGCTGGATGCCGGATGCCGCAGATCCAGATTACACGTTAGATGATTCACAACTAGAAGGAGAGAAACAAACAGGTTGGTTGAAACTTTTATTTGTGTCCCAGCATTGTACAGATGTCAACTCTTAAGGTAGGCCAACAAGGATGGTAATCTGACCAATGAATTTGAAACCAGGCTCAAAATTTGTCCCACTCTGCTCACCTTAATCTCACTGTTGTTCACTTCACAGCATCTTCTATGAATTCTGATGAGAAAACACAAAGGGCAACGTAGGAAAATTACCGAACGATACCTATTAACTGAAGAAAATACAAACTATACAAAACCAAAATATTCTGTGAAAAGATGGAATTATCTTTTAATTTTTATTAGAAAAAATAAATCGCACAATGTCTGACAAAACAAACCACCCTATCCCAAACAAACCACACATACAAAGGCTCAATCATTTTCTATCAGACTTCTAATTAACAGCTGCGATGATCTGAATATTAATTCAGACAGTTATTATTTCAATTTTAGAAAAGGTATGTGCTAGAGCAGTTAATCTGCGTTGGTACTTGAATGAGTCTGATTGCATGTGAAAATGACAAGCACAACATACATACATTAGGTGACTGTCCAAAAATACACACACATTAAGAACCCATCGATGTTCCTTATACTTATTGATTGATCGATTGATTGATGTACAGTGCTGGGATATACATGTAGTAAGTCAGTAAAAATAAAATCGCCAATTTCTCCCACTTTTGAAAATTATTACATTTCTGAACAAACATGCAAACAATGCAAATCATTAGAACTTCAACTACAAAATATCGATCGAATTCTTTTAGCAGAAATTAATTCAATCTGAAGTTTGAATATACAAGAGAATCCCCCTGTTATCTGATTGGTCGTGAAATTTGTTTATGATGAACCTGATTGGTTGCTTGTTTCAAGGCTTGTTTGACTTGACGGGGATTCCCCGCGATGGCCAGGAAAACAATTGTGTTTAATTCTGAATGTTGGTGGTTCTGATGATTTGTTCATAATCGGCAATAATATACCCATAAGTTTCAAGATATATCCAAGGTATGTAAGATATTATATGAGCAATAATAATGGGACATCACTGATTGTCCAGGAAAGAAACCTATGGTATACTGCATCTTTAATATTGGGGATGATCTCATCGATATTTGGAACTTTTCAAAGGTTTATTTTATCTGACTTATTATATATATTTAACTAACTTATAAATATTATATAAATATATATTACTACTATTAGCCTTTAGTGATCTCCCTAGTAATAGAGCAACTGAGTGATGCACTCAGATTTTAATAATACATGATGCCACCCTATTAAGAATCTGTTGCACCTTGTTGAAATGAGTTTTGAGATTAGAGCTCGGAGGTATTGTCGGTAATGCCGCAAAGGTAAGGTTATTGGTGGATGCCGGTATTGAAATTTATCATCGAACGGTAAATCCCCGGGGAAATTCGTGATTCATACTTCATCAATCAGAACCACAAATAACGTCTAAAAGTCGCATTCATTTTAGTATATGTCTATTCATTCTTTAATTGTGTGTGTTTATACGGTATAATATTTAATTATTTACATGTAATTTGAGCGTAAGAGTCCTAAAAGTTGAAAAAACACTTACCTGAACTTGTTATTTGCCACCACTCAAAACGAGGCCAAAAGTATAATCGCGCCATCTATTGTGAATGTGAACGTAAAAATAATCGTTGACATTTATTTTGTTTATTTATTGTATTAAATCAGCATGAATACGATTTAGATATACACAAGAAAACACTTATGAAGCTGTTATACAACACTCGGTTCCCCAAACGTGATGTAAACGTGAATTAAAGAGGTAAATAGCAAAATGTTTGTAAAAAATTTAAAATTTCAATTTTTTCAGATTTTTTTTGATTATTTTAGTACACCAGCGATTAATCGGTAACGGTTCGGTTTCAAGATGCAGTAATACCGGCACCATTTTCCAATGCCGTTCCGAGCTCTATTTGAGATGTTTTGAACAAAATAGGTAAAATCAAGATTTGTACAGGGTGTTCTAAAAAAGTCCAACCCAAAGAAATTGCTATATCTTGGAAAATACTTATCCAATTGTGTTCATCTTTTCAGGAAAAAAGAAGAGACTGTGTGTGTATAGCTCCTGCTGTTAGTTAGTTGTAAAACATGATGCCTTGGACACCTGCTCAAAAGACAATAGTATTAGAAAGATACGAAAAAACGCAGTTAGAGGTGACTGCCAGAGCAATAAACCCTAATAACTTTCTAACTATGGTGTTTTGGCACTTCAGATTTGACACAAATTATTTTCATATAATGTGTAGTGAATTAGGGGAGTTTTATTAAAATCACTCCAGGGACTTTACACTCATGGCCTTCTTAAGTCTGGCTGAACCTGGGTGTTTGACTGAGCTTTGAAAGCATTTCGACCAAAACTGTAAAGTCCCTAGAGTGACTTTGATTTCACTCTACAGATCTATCATACATTGAATAAAGATGGTTTGTGCCAAATTTGAATAGCCAAAACACTATGGTTAGAAAGTTATTTGGTTTTATTGCTGTGGCAGTCGTCTCTCACTGTGTTTTTCGTATCTTTCTAATACTAATGTCTTTTGAGCAGTTGTCCTAGGCATCATGTTTTACAACTAACAACATGAGCTACAGTCTCTTCTTTCTTTCCTGGAAAAATGAACACAATTGGACAAATATTTTCCAAGATATAGCGATTTCTTTGGGTTGCGGTTTTTTGATCACCATGTACATTGTTGAGAAAAAACTGGGGAGATCACTAAATATTCTGTAAACATTTATCTTACACAAGATTAGGGGTCTCATATGAAATAGAAAGATAACACTAATATTATTAACATGATAATCATAGACTAGTTATAGAAAATGCAGAAATAGTTTGCTGAGGTCTGATACAAAAAAAGATACATATGGGCCTTCCCTCACATTTGCCCAAGACCATATGGGTTACTTCAAGGAAGTGATATTTAAAGTAGAGTTGCAATAAACATATTTTGCAATGTTACAAGTTTACAGTTGCTACAATGTTTAAGGTCTTACTTATAAGGGCATTTGAATTTTGATACAGTCTTCACCCAGGCCCGTAGCCAGGTTTGAGCAAATCCCCTTTGCCAAATTTTTTTTCAAAATGTTGGGCAAAAGTTATCAAAAGGGAACCCCCTCCTGAAATATTTCAAAAAGTGATCCCCCATGGCAAATCCTGGCTACGGGGCTGACACCCATTGCATTTGTATTGCTTTTTATATTGTATTGCTTTTACAAGCATCAAGTAACATTCTAATTAAAAAGTGTAGAAGAGACACTACTGTTTTAAGAGACATCTTAAAGTTTTGTCTGATAAGTGTCTCTTCAAGACTCAAGGTCCATCATTCCAGTTTAGATGAACAAAAAATGGTTGGATACGTACCAAAAATCACAAGGTGATGTCTGGTTACTATAAGAATTAATATTTCAGGTTAGCAATTTCAATTCTGTGATATTCAGATATTAAGAACTTTATATTTTTAAGAAATGACACAATTTGATGTCATCAAGAATTTTAAGGTTTTGCATCTTTGTCTTGAAATTTTAAAATTAGATGGTGTAAAAAGATACTAGATATAGTATTATGACATCCAAGATATTTTAGGTTTGGTGAACTGTCAATATAGATGTAAGTGGTATTTAATCAGAGCAGTTAATTTGCCGAATGGCATGCAATACCAACTTCAGGGATCTTCCCAGCATTAAAGCAAGTTGGCTCGGCACCCACCTTTAGATTATGAAAATAGGCTTGCACCCACCTGAGAATCCATTTGCCTCCACTTGAAAATGAGAAGATAATGAAAATGGGCATATTTTGACCGATTTTGGTACAGGGTGACCGGAAAAAAAGGAGACCATTGAAGTAATCAATTTCTCCTAAACTAGACAAGTGCCATCAATGAAATTTTGCATACACTGGAACAGTTATATGGAAATTTGTTACTGAAGGTTTCAATACAAGCATTCAACTGGTTCAGGAGCTATGATCATTTACATAACATGCTCCAAATAGGCACAATTGAGACCAACGCAGAGTTGGATTCATATGGCAAACTACCCTTACATGTTCTGCCCTCTATGGCATTATTATGGCATTACATATAGCAGTGATTGCCTTCTTTAGGTCAACAATAGTCTGAGGATTGTTTTGGTATAGATTGTCTTTCAAATATCCATACAAAAAGAAATCAGCAGGATTCAAGTCTAGGCTGTAATGGCAATGAAGGGTTATCTGACATGTGGTTCATCATCCTGTTGCCAAAGTGCTGATTTACCCAATCTTAAGAGTCACTTTAGGTATTGGGCATAGTGCCATGTTACTAAAACCACTATATGGCACAATTAAATCCCATATGGAAACCAAGGGCTGCCCAAAACCTCCTTAGGATGATACTGTAACTGAGTGGGACCACTGAGTCAGAAGCCATAGGTCAGATAAGCTTCGTCTCCATACACCTCAAATTTGAATCCACCTGATTTCTTTTTGTGGGGCAATTTGAAAGACAATGTGTACCAAAACAATCCTGAGACAATTGCTGACCTAAAGGTGGCAATAAATGCTAAATGTAATGCCATAACAAGGTCGGAATATGTAAGGGTATTTGCCAAATGTATCCAGCTCTGCGTTGGTCTCAATTGCGCCTATTTGGAGCATGTTATGTAAATGATCATAGCTCCTGAACCAGTTGACTGCTTGTATTGACACTTTCAGGAACAAATTTCCATAGAACTGTCCTGATGTATGCAAAATTTCATTGATGTCACTAGTCTATTTTAGGAGATATTGCCTATTTCAATGGTCTCCTTTTTTTCCGGTCACCCTGTATGAATTTTGAAAATGAGAATTTTGCACCCACTTCAGAAAAAATTCTTTGGAGAACACTGGGAGAACACTGAACTTCAGAATTTTAATTTTCCGACTCAGCAAGTCCATCATAGAAATGCTGAGAGCACATCCAATGTACATTAACAAGAACTGGCAGGACACTCTCTTTATGAAGCATACAATTGAGTATACTCCTGTAAATGTTTTCTTTGCAGTTGTTGGACCAGTCGTTGAATATGACAGGGCAGCTTCTGATGAAATAATGAAAATAGAAGAGCAAAAGGTACCAGCCACAGGAAAAAAGCCTAAACGGGGATATAATAAGTACACCCCAGAGCAAAAGGCTGAGATGGGTAAATATGCAAGGGAATTTGGAAGTACGGCTGCAGCTAAACATTTTTCTAAACAATATAACATGAAGATTGATGAGTCATCTGTTCGAATGTTCAAGTCTAAAGTAGCACAAAAGACACAACCTCCAAGAAAAAAGCCTAAAAGGGAATATAATAAGTACACCCCGGAGCAAAAAGCAGAGATGGGTAAATATGCAATGGAATTTGGAAGTACGGCTGCAGCTAAACATTTTTCTAAACAATTTAACATGAAGATTGAGGAGTCATCTGTTCGAATGTTCAAGTCTAAAGTAGCACAAAAGACATCAACTCCAAGCAAAAAGCCTAAAACTAAAAGGGAATATAATAAGTACACCCCGGAGCAAAAAGCAGAGATGGGTAAATATGCCATGGAATTTGGAAATGTGGCTGCAGCTAAACATTTTTCTAAAAAATATAGCATGGACATTGATGAATCAGTGGTTCGAAGGTACAAGTCTGAAGTAGCGAAACACCTTAAAAATGTGGACTTGGAAGACATTGGATATATTAAGACAAGCAACAGAGGCCGGCCTACAATTTTACCAGCAGACATTGAAAGTGAAATGTTTCGGTATATTGAAACGCTGCATGCCTCAGGAACACCAGTAGATACAACTTTGATTCACTCAGCTATCAAGAGAATTGTCCAGCAGAAAAACAAAAAGCTTCTCTCTGAAAATGGCGGCCATATAGAAATCACCAAATCTTTAGTGCCTTCGTTAGCAAACAGAATGGGATTTTCAAAAAACATTCTTATGTAGTAAATGGATAAAACTGTGTCAATTTTTTGACTGAAATCTTATTTTTTGGAGTTATTTGTACGTTGTACCTGAGGACATACAAGATTTTACATGGATCATTTTAACATGGATAATAATAAATTACATACATTTTATTGGATATAAACAAACTTGCTGCTCTTCATGTCAATAATACTATAAGTTATTTAATGATTCGAGTGAAATACAGAAAATATTCTTCCCGAGAAGGTTGTATTTCATGATGCGCTAGCAGAGTGAAATACAGACGTTCAAGGGAAGAATATTTTCTGTATTTCACAAGAAATCATTGAATAACGTTTTTATTACATGATTACCCATATAAAACTTGCCTAAATCAAGTCCCTTGGCTTGGGGCCGGAGAAACAGATCAACCTTCTCACCTCAGTGATATTTTACATCGATATTCCTTCAAAATCTTTATGGCCTTGTTGTTTGCTTTTTATTGTATTATAGGAGACATTTGATTTTCTTTCTTTTTTCTTCAATTTCATCAGCTTGAAGTGCAGTGTAGCGAAACGTTTTTTCGACTTTCTTCTGCCATATTTGATTTAACATTTTTTTACTGGTTCATGAAAACAATGTGCATGCTTCATATTGATTTTTTTATATTCACAGATGTGTGTTTTTTATCCTAAAATTATAAATTGTGATGATCACCGTATCATTTCCTGATATTCAAATCAGATATTTCTAGCAAAACGCAAATATTAGCATGCGTTTGTGTAAACTGATCACCATTGATTTTTTTCAGTAATAGTCATATCCTGGATGGAAATCTGGGGCGTTGGGATACTAGACCATATCCCAACGCTGACGTCTTTTCCACTCTGTATCCAACGCTTAATGGAATGTGCGTGTAAATACAGGATATATTTAAGTCATGTGCACCAATCAGATTGCAGGGAATTTCACCATCATGGAATAATGATTGACATTTTTAGCTCCGCCTTAGTTGTGATTGGCTATTTCAATGCCGACGCCACTCTTCGACTTTGAAATTAGGTAACTGATTATGACAGCTTCCATTCACCATGTAAATAAATTGATTTTAATATGTTATCTCTCACATTTAATTTCCTGGCACTTAGCACAATTTATATTTGGGAATTTAAATGTCTCGTAAAATGAACCCCTTATTCAGCATAATTTGTAAATTGGGAAATTAATTGTCTCATAAAATGAACCCCTTATTCAGTCATACGATGCCATTAATATATTGCAAATTATAGAGACTTGCTAGATGAAGACCTCAGAAGGACTCGACAGTTTTTACTTAAGAATAGAATTCTTGGAATTGTGATTGAACGTGTTAAATATGCCAAATTGGTTGTAAATCAATATACTTTGAATACTGAATATGAAATATTATCTGAACTTCAATAATAAAGATCTTTTTTTCAGGGGGAACCAGTGTCTGCGTATACTGTAGAGCAGTGTTTGCTTAAAAGTCCAGTTTGAGAAGACATATACAACTCACTACTCCACCATTTAGATAAAAGGTTTAAATGTTAAGACTGCAATATAATTTTCTCAAGTAAAGAGGACTAATACATGGTCTTTTGAGAGGAAAACATAGAATGGAAAATCTGTTTTGTGATAAATGTTGCAAACAATTCAACAGTGCTACTAATTTGAGCAGTCATAAAGAACAGCACCAGAAAGATCCAACTGATTTCTATTGTGATATTTGCCCATTTATGGAAGTTAAGTTCCTAACAAAGGGTCGACTTAGGAGGCACATTAATAACATACATATGAGTCAGGAAAATATGTTCGCATGTGAACTTTGTAATAAGAAATTCAAATATACATCTTCACTGAGGAAGCATACAAGAAAAGAGCATCCAAAATAGAAAAATGTTAATGCAATGTTAACAGAATAGTAAAAATATTAATGCAATATTGACAGGATAGTGAAAATGTTAATGCAATGTTGACAGGATAGTGAAAATGTTAATGCAATGTTGACAGGATAGTGAAAATGTTAATGCAATATTAACAGAATAGTGAAAATGTTAATGCAATATTAACAGAATAGTGAAAATGTTAATGCAATATTAACAGTATAGTGAAAATGTTAATGCAATGTTAACAGAACAGTGAAAATGTTAATGCAATGTTTACTGGAAGGATACTATTGTTTTGTGAATTACTGTTTGTAAAATTATGAACTGACTGTTTATGATGAAATTTTATTTTGGCATATATTTGAAATGTTATGCATGCCACATCCTACACTTGAATGAACAGTTCAATTAGTGACAACTTTCATAACCTCTAAAGTTGAATAAATGGCATTAAATATACCGGATCTGTTTTTCCTTTGCTTTTGTAGAGTTCAAAACATTTGAACCTTTATTCACTTTACTACATAAAGTTGTCAGATACTTGCGGATCAAAAACTAAGACAATCATTGAAATAAGTGAATAAGTGAAAGACCAAAGACTTTTACAAAGAAGAATAAAAAAGACAGCCAAGCATAAGGAAAACAAAGCCCCAACATCCCAAATCATGATTTAATGCACAATGAAATGAAGTTAATCTAACACTCCCCCCATCATTCAGGAGGTGGTTTGGGTGCTTTGTTTTGACTTTTGATGCATGCAAAACAGTGTGTTGCCATTCCATCAGTCTATAAGGTTTACTTTAAACACATTGTACAGCTATCATGCAAACTCAGCTCATAGTAACAAAATACAAGAGTAAGGAGAAATATGATGATGGAACACATATTTTACAGGGATTAAAGTACTTCGTTTTCATGACAAAATCCAAACATAAATTTGTTTTAAACACATAAAATCAAATTGAAATGTGTTGAATCGTCTTCCTACTTTAATCTCAGTATGTTATGTGGTTTCAGATTCACCAACAAAGTCAAAAAGGAAAAATGGCAAGATTTATGAGTGTCGTGAATGCCTATTTAAGTCAACCAAGCGTTGGTGCCTGGTGAGACATCAGCGAAGTCAACACGAAGGAGAAGTCTTTAACTGTACCGTGTGTAAAAGAACATTCTCTACTAAACACTATTTAAAACAACACCAGGCAGTGCAACATTTTAAAACACAGACTAACGATTGTGCAATTTGTGAGAAAACATTTGCAACTAAAAATGCATTAATTGAACATGAAAAGTTTAAACATCAAGGGGTTTATAAATTTCAGTGTCCGATTTGCTCTCAAACATTCTGGCATAAAGACCATTATGAAAGTCATGTGAATGAACATTACAATGCAAGACCTTTTGTCTGTATGAAGTGCAATAAAGGTTTTAATGCAAGGGGCACCTATCAAGCTCATTGCAAGATTTGTCAGAACAAAGTTGCTCAAGTTTAAGAATGTATATGATATCTGTGAGACGACATTTTCTTCCAAATAAAATTTTATCTGAACACAATGATACATTACATAACAACAAGACATATACATGCTGAGAAAATATCTATAAATGGAGAAAGAATTATTATCATGGCAGAAAGAGGAATCATCCTGACAGACAATTTCTGGATAACTGTGACGATAATGATATTGTACTACCAAATATGGATGGAACTCAACATGAACTTCCAAATATGGACCTAGCTCAATTATGAATCCAACTCAAGATTTAGCACCAAACATGGACCTAACTCTACAGATACCCCAAATATGGAAATCTCACAAGATCCTCAATCAACAATCAAAATTAAAGGAAATAGTGCAATAGATAAACTTGGTGATAATCGATACATACATGTATAATATCTTGAAATAAGTTGATATTTATATTAAATGGGCTTTCATTCACAATAGCAGTTCATTTTTTAATTTTATAGTACATCACTACATTATAAGCAAAAATATATATGTTAATAAATACATGTAAATTAAGAACTGAAACTGAAAATGTTCGACAGAATTATGTCTAGCACTTATATCATTGAACTGTTACGATAGACCCATCATTTCTAGATCTGTTGAAATATCATTTATGCTTCAGTTACATTTAGATAGATAGTATCTGTGCTTTGAAGATGAGATCATATCTATTGATAATCTTAGGAGCTTTAAATGAAATCAGGCACCAGGGCATCTTCCAGAATTTTTAGGTAGTTTCCATGTTTTATCTGCTTGTTTTCACAAGCATGGCCATCTCCAGGAACTTTTAGGTAGTTTCCTTGTTATATCTGCTTGTGTTCACCATTTTCAAAGGTACATAGGATTTGCTATATCATGTATATATTTATAATACCTTTGCAGTCAAAGTTGAGTAAATTTCATTTATATTTTCAGGCAGTGGAAATATACAAAAGCAGAGAGTAAATTCAAAGCAAGAAATTGAACCACATATGTCTAAAGACACTGTGAAACATGAAGCAACATATTCAGATGTTACAGATACCAAAGCTACTTTGGATATTATTAAAACATCAACTGATGATGAGAATGATGCACAAATGCAAAGCAACAATATGGCCACAACCAGCGCTCAAGCAATCGAGGCCATCTCTGGTAAACTTGATCTGATTATAACATATTTCAAAATAAATCAAGGAAAACCTCAAAAACCCCCTCCTCCACCTCCGGATTTCACCGACACCCGTTTATTGGCAGGCAGTGGAAATATACAAAAGCAGAGAGTAAATTCAAAGCAAGAAATTGAACCACATATGTCTAAAGACACTGTGAAACATGAAGCAACATATTCAGATGTTACAGATACCAAAGCTACTTTGGATATTATTAAAACATCAACTGATGATGAGAATGATGCACAAATGCAAAGCAACAATATGGCCACAACCAGCGCTCAAGCAATCGAGGCCATCTCTGGTAAACTTGATCTGATTATAACATATTTCAAAATAAATCAAGGAAAACCTCAAAAACCCCCTCCTCCACCTCCGGATTTCACCGACACCCGTTTATTGGGAATCACTATAGACCAATTCTATAAATTAAGTAAGACTCGAAGAATTTCTCACAAAACCCTTACTGAGCTTGTCGAAACCCTTCCCCCTTACACAGGCATTCCAAAAGTTAAAAACCCTTATGTCATCGATAAAGCTCTCGTGAAATCTGCTGCAGAGCGATACCATTTTCAACCTAAAATGTTTGTCGATATGATTGCACGCAATATCTTTACATTAGGCGAGATCAAAGGTCGCAACTACATGGGTAAATCTTCTAGAAACACTGTTGTGAAAAAGGAAATATCAATTCCAAAGAAAAATGCATTAGAGGCCGCAGTTTCTAAACAGTTTCCAAGTTTGAAGAAGGAAGAAGTTGCGAAAACATGTAGGGACACAATTAATCGAAGAATACGCTATATATTTGATGAGACATTGGGGTCAAACCAATGGTTTGCACTTGATTGCAAGAGTGATCCCTAGAAAGAGACATGGTGGGCCAATTGCAAAACTTGTATTCAGTTTGACTGTCAGTGTGTTCAGATGTACAGCACATTGAATGTGAAATTCTTCATGAACATCTCAGTTTTGTAGTGAGATAAATAGAGACTTTTTTGTTATTGTTATAGACTGTAATCCAGTGTGACAAATTTTCTTGTTAATTTAAAGATGTTGACATTTTTCCAGCTGGTTTCTTGTTAATTTAAAGATGTTGACATTTTTCCAGCTTAGTTCTTGTTAATTTAAAGATGTTGACATTTTCCAGCTGATATCTTGTTAATTTAAAGATGTTGACATTTTTCCAGCTGATTTCTTGTAAATTTAAAGATGTTGACATTTTTTTAGCTGATTTCTTGTTAATTTAAAGATGTTGACATTTTTTCCAGCTGATTTCTTGTTAATTTAAAGGTGTTGACATTTTTCAAGCTTATTTCTTGTTAATTTAAAGATGCTGACATTTTCAGCTTATTTCTTGTTAATTCAAAGATGTTGATATTTTTCCAGCTTATTTCTTGTTAATTCAAAGATGTTGACATTTTTCCAGCTTATTACTTGTTAAAGGAATATTCCTTGCCAGACCCTTTCTCTCTTGATATGGTAGCTATAATCATATATATAGTTTCCATATTTAGCAAAACATGGGAAAATGTTTTAATATTGTCAATATTGATCATTTAAAAATCTAGTGCTTATTTCCAGTGAGCTGCCATCTTTTAAGATTTCTTGCAGAAAGTGATGTCATCAACTCTCAACTTCTATAACCTTGCCCATAACAGTATAGGAAAGTAGCACTAAATCACTTCTAGACAAGTGATCATTACTTTCTGTGCAAAAATATTTTCAGGGCTTGTCAACTTAGAATAAAAGAAGAGATTTTCAGAAGGATTAAATAAGATACAAAGTTGAAAAAGAATATTTAGATGGTTGTGTAATTCTTAATAGCTCCTCACCTAATGCTATATGCAAAGTTGAGAGTCGATGACATCACTTCCTGTGTGAAATTTTAAAAGATGGCAGCTTACTGGAATTGAGCATCACATTTCTAAGTGATCAAATTTGACCATATCAAAACATTTTTGCGTGTTTTGCAAAACATGGCAAGCATATATATGGTTATAGCTACCATATGAGGAGAGAGATGGTTTGGCAAGGAATATTCCTTTAATTCAAAGATGTTGACATTTTTCCAGCTTATTTCTTGTTAATTTAAAGGTGTTGACATTTTCCCAGCTTATTTCATGTTAATTTAAAGGTGTAATGTTATGTTATATTTATTTTCATATTATAATTATTACAATTTGAACAGCAAGGTATGCACAAGACGCTGAGCGTATACTGTGCAGTTTACACCACATTACATATTACATAGTTAGAGCATACGTGTATGTTAAATTAATAATAAGGATCACTAGATTAGCAATAACAAATTCTAGTAAATTAGCTCATGCCGCCCCTTTATTGAAAGGTCTTGGAATCTTAAATATTTTTGATATATATTTTTAACTTGAATGTTGTGATCTTTGCATACCAAAATATAAATAAACCCGACAAGTTTCCCCATCACCTATTTAAACAATTCTATTCTACAAATGCTGATACACATGACCATGAAACGAGAAAAAAAGACCGTCTAAATTCATATAGGTGATTTTCCAGCTTATTTCTTGTTATTAATTTAAAGGTGTTGACATTTTCCCAGCTGATTTCTTGTTAATTTAAAGGTGTTGACATTTTTCAAGCTTATTTCTTGTTAATTTAAAGATGCTGACATTTTCAGCTTATTTCTTGTTAATTCAAAGATGTTGATATTTTTCCAGCTTATTTCTTGTTAATTCAAAGATGTTGACATTTTTATCGCACTTTTGAAAAAGTGCTATATTGTCGTCGTCTTGTGCTGTTGGGCGGGCGTACGGGCGTGTGGGCGTGCGGGCGGGCGGGACATAAACCAAATCTTGTCATCAAATTTCCAGGATAACTGCTTACTTGTTCAGCTTGAAATTTTTACAGATGCAAGAGCAGACTAGTACCAACATCTGATTAGGTTAAGGGCATGCTGGGTAAACTACGTGGCGGCCATTTTGAATTTTTCAACAAATCTTGTCATCAAAATTCCAGGAAAACCTCTTATCCGTTCAACTTGAAATTTTTACAGATGCAAGAGCAGACTATTGCCAAGATCTGATAAGGTTTTGGGTATGCTGGCTGAATTACATGGTGGCCATTTTGAATTTTTCAATTTGGCGGCCATTTTGAATTTTTCAACTTGCTCCAAATTGACCAAATTTTTTTTTTAAAAACATCTACCAGTTCTCAAAAGTTCAAATCTGACCTTAGATTTCAGATTTGACCTTTCGTTCACCTTCAGTGACCTTGAAAAGGTCAAAAAAATTGATTTTCTAAATTGATATTTTGGATTTAAATTTAGGTCAGCTTAATTACAAAACACCTACTGAGGTCTGAAAAAGTGAAATTTTCAAGGTCGAACGTCAAGGTCATTAAACTAGGTCACAAATGATGTTATCCAAGTTTCTCAAAGTTTGAGACTACAAATCAATTCTTGTCATCAAAATTCCAAGAAAACCGCTAACCTGTTCAACTTGAAATTTTTACACATGCAATAGCAGACTAGTGCCAAGATCTGATTAGGTTAAGGGCATGCTGGGTAAACTACGTGGCGGCCATCTTGAATTTTTCAACAAATCTTGTCATCAAAATTCCAGGAAAACCACTTATCCGTTCAACTTGAAATTTTTACAGATGCAAGAGCAGACTATTGCCAAGATCTGATTAGGTTTTGGGTATGCTGGCTGAATTAAATGGTGGCCATTTTGAACTTTTCAATTTGGCGGCCATTTTGAATTTTTCAACTTGCTCCAAATTGACCAACTTTTTTTTAAAAAAACATCTACAAGTTCTCAGAAGTTCAAATCTGACCTTAGATTTCAGATTTGACCTTTCGTTCACCTTCAGTGACCTTGAAAAGGTTAAAAAAGTTGATTTTCTAAATTGATATTTTGGATTTAAATTTAGGTCAGCTTAATTACAAAACACCTACTGAGGTCTGAAAAAGTGAAATTTTCAAGGTCGAAGGTCAAGGTCATTAAACTAGGTCACAAATGATGTTATCCAGGTTTCTCAAAGTTTGAGACTACAAATCAATTCTTGTCATCAAAGTTCCAAGAAAACCGCTAACCTGTTCAACTTGAAATTTTTACACATGCAATAGCAGACTAGTACCAAGATCTGATTAGGTTAAGGGCATGTTGGGTAAACTACGTGGTGGCCATCTTGAATTTTTCAACAAATCTTGTCATCAAAATTCCAGGAAAACCACTTATCCGTTCAACTTGAAATTTTTACAGATGCAAGAGCAGACTAGTGCCAAGATCTGATTAGGTTTTGGGTATGCTGGCTGAATTACATGGTGGCCATTTTGAATTTTTCAATTTGGCGGCCATTTTGAATTTTTCAACTTGCTCCAAATTGACCAAATTTTTTTTTAAAAAAACATCTACAAGTTCTCAGAAGTTCAAATCTGACCTTAGATTTCAAAAAGTTGATTTTCTAAATTGATATTTTGGATTTAAATTTAGGTCAGCTTAATTACAAAACACCTACTGAGGTCTGAAAAAGTAAAATTTTCAAGGTCAAAGGTCATCAAATTAGGTCACAAACAATGTTATCTAAATTTTCCCAAAGTTCAAGACTACAAATAAATTCTTGTCATCAAAATTGCAGGAAAACCGCTAACCTTGTCAACTTGAAATGTTTACAGATGCAAGAGCAGACTAGTGCCAAGGTCTGATTAGGTTTTGGCCATGCTGGGTGAATTGCATGGTGGCCAGTTTGCTCTTCAAAGTGCGATATTTATCACTGTGTGTCTTGTTCCAGCTTATTACTTGTTAATTCAAAGATGTTGACATTTTTCCAGCTTATTTCTTGTTAATTTAAAGGTGTTGACATTTTCCCAGCTTATTTCATGTTAATTTAAAGGTGTAATGTTATGTTATATTTATTTTCATATTATAATTATTACAATTTGAACAGCAAGGTATGCACAAGACGCTGAGCGTATACTGTGCAGTTTACACCACATTACATATTACATAGTTAGAGCATACATGTATGTTAAATTAATAATAAGGATCACTAGATTAGCAATAACAAATTCTAGTAAATTAGCTCATGCCGCCCCTTTATTGAAAGGTCTTGGAATCTTAAATATTTTTGATATATATTTTTAACTTGAATGTTGTGATCTTTGCATACCAAAATATAAATAAACCTGACAAGTTTCCCCATCACCTATTTAAACAATTCTATTCTACAAATGCTGATACACATGACCATGAAACGAGATAAAAAGACCGTCTAAATTCATATAAGTGATTTTCCAGCTTATTTCTTGTTATTAATTTAAAGGTGTTGACATTTTCCCAGCTTATTTCTTGTTAATTTCAAAGTTTTATTAAAATTTTACATTCATTTTGTTGTAGGAGGTTTTGAAATAAGTGAATAGAGAAACAGTAACATTTGTCTGATTGACAGACGTTCCCATTTTAAGGGTTTTAAACATGGAAGTCTTCTTACTGTAAATGGAACTGATCACATTGAGAGATCTTAGAGGTGTTTGGATATGTACAGTTATTACTATAATATTCTTTCAAAAAGAAGCTAAAATAAGTAAAATATATTTGCTATAAAAGTTTGCAGTAACATGGCACTTTTGTACAACATACTTGAAATGAATAGAATAAATGTACATAGTAAATATTCCTTTTTATTTGGAAAATACAGTGTTCATGTTTTCTTATTTCACATTTAATGTGACCTGGTTTTGAAAAAATAAGTCTTCTAAAACATGTAAAAGTTTTTTGCCAATGCCCAAATTGTTCGACATGGGCAGATTTTGCCTCCTTTGATCAATGAAAATGACACTGTTAGAAAGTATAGTAGCAAGTATTTCTTTGACAGAATACATAAAAACATCAGTGTGACAGAACAAGTGGCAACACTTATGAGGGATCATCTAGCTTAAGCTAGTAGCTACATCAAAGGGGTAAACATCAGAACTCATTGATGCTGCATTAGAATATGTTTAACATAATGCACAGGTTGGCGATAGGTCCATTGCCACACATATGTATCAAAATTGGCTGTTCTGAATGATGATAGCAATTCTTTTATTTACAGATTCACCCAACCTAAGACCTAGAAAGGGAAGACGTTCAAAGTTTCAGCTTGAGGACGAAATACGATTCGCCACCCTTCAAGAAGCGAGGCGTTATACACAGCGACATTTTCCTAGTGCAACTATTCCTAATACTGAAGGACAATCTAAATTATGTGTAGTTTGTGAACCGTGTAAAGTTCAAACACGATATGAATGTTTGTCTTGCAAAGTAGCTCTCTGTGTTGATCCTTGCTTCAAAGTGTATCACACTTATAAAAAATATAAGGATAAAAATATTTAAGGATAATAAAGTTTGTACAGAGGAAATTGTGTGAACTGTGGAAAGGGAATTGCTGATCATTGATAATATTACATAAACAGTGTTACAGATTTTGACAACATGAAAGACAATAGACTGGAATGTTCAAAAGGTGATCTTGAACAGTGTTTACATTGAGAACTGCATGGTTACAAGGATTTGGCAATTGCTGGTTGCTATGGATACGTTATTGCTGGTTGCTATAGATATGCTATTGCAGGTTGCTATGGATATGCTATTACAGGTTGCTATGGATACACTATTGCAGGTTGTTATGGATATACTATTGCAGGTTGCTATGGATATATGCTATTGCAGGTTGCTATGGACACATGTTCCATCTTATCATTTAATGATATTTGTCCTCACTTTCAAAGTTGAATAAAATAATGATAGAAAAAAAAACTTGAAAATGTGATTTATGTAAATTGTAAAGAGGAGATCTTCTTTTTTGTACACACAGCCAATATCAATGTTTAGCATATCATGGTAAACCATGTGATGAATATTAGAATGCCTAATATGTACAAAAGTCACCTTATATGCATCATGATAAACTATGACATCCCTTTTCTCCTTAGTCTTGAGATGTGACTGCTTTGAATTTTTTGTTTTCAAATGACTGGTGATATCTCAGCATACTGAGAGTGCTTACACTGTGGCAAATGTTACTCCAAAGAACAACCATTGACGTCCCAAATTCATGTTGAACATATTTAACAAGGATCCTGAAATTTCATATTTTCCTTTTCTTATGTCTATAGAATCTCAAATTCCACAAAAATATGAAGACTTCAGATAATGATGGTAATAACACATGTTACCCATTCTGTTATTGGTTAAACACAGGTCACATGACAGAAATATGGTGTGTTTTGTTCCTGTTACGTCACCAGTCAAGAGGAAGATATATCCCAGAATTCATAAATGAACCTAGATATAGGTTCGTCCTTATATGGAGATACACTCCCCCCCATAAGTTTGGCAACCTTTTTTCTCCATTGAACTACGTGTTAAAGCCTCTTTACGTTTGAATTTTTATTTACTTAACTGGCGATGGAATAACTTATAATATTGATGGAAACTTAACTTGACTTTATTTCCAATACCTCCAAATTTTCTCAATTTTTTTCCTCAATTACAATAGGTCGAAAATTGATGATAAATTTGATGAATTTTTGAAAATCGTCATTCTCATGTAATCCAATGGGAAATGGAGGGTTCGGGGCAAATCAGAAATCAGGATATCTTTTCAGTAAAAGATTCAGCAAAAAATATGTTTATATAGAAAATTGAATTGTCTAACTTTTTTGAACACTAAGAGTTTAGTTTATTTGATGAATATTAAAGTTACAGCGCTTCAAAATCATTTTTGAAAATTATTTTTCGCCTCCTGTGTTATTTCAATGGGAGAGGTTTTTTGAAAAACAATTTTGACTTTAAAGCCCTATAACTTTGTTGAACCTGAAGAAACATATCAATTTTTTGTTAAATTAAGTTAGCAAATTCAATTACCTGCCTAACTCGTATTTTTTGCAAGGACTCGGATGGATGGATATGCTGTCATATGACTTGCGGCAAACCTACCATTTCCCATTGGTTAACATGGGAATGTCGATTTTCAAAAATTCATCAAATTCATCATCAATTTTCGACCTATTGTAATTGAGGAAAAAATTTAGAAAATTTGGAGGTATTGGAATTAAAGTTAAATTACGTTTCCATCAATAGTATAAGTATTTTCATTGCAGGTTAAGTAAATAAAAATTCAAATGTAAAGAGGCTTTAACACGTAGTTCAATGGGGGAAAAAGCTTGCCAAACTTATGGAGGGGAGTGTAAGTCCATCTATTAATTCTGGGCTATTCCCCCTCTTGACCCCAGACACTTGTTCAACCTCACTCAGAGAGAATATTCTCATGTTTCATATATCAGTCAGCGGTAATCCACTCTAGTGTTGCTTTGAAAAACGACAGTTGTGCGTCACATTTTTTGCAAAAAATATTCTTATTTTTGGCTGTATTAGCCGAATTAGAAACAAAATGATCAATCCCTTCCACTCCCTCATTTCTACATTATATCTGCGCATGCTCACATATTTAATTAGCACAACAAAATAAATAAACATTTTTTCTTTTCCAGGATCTGAACTTGCTGGAGTTTTGACTAACTATAGAGGCTCTTGTTCACTACCTTTACCACAGAGAGATAGACCAGACAGATTTACATGCACAATATGTGATAAAAGTTTTACAAGGAACATACATCTACAGAACCATATAAACACCCACACAGGAAAAAAGCCTTATCGCTGTCATATCTGTCTCAAGTCTTTTAATCAGCTAAGCAATAAAACAAGGCATATGAAACTCCATAAGACAAAGACTGAAAGACTTTGATAATCTTTTAAGATTCACACGGTGCCCATGTCAAGCTGCGCGCCTACTAGGCACGCAGTTTGAAACTCTGACAAACTGCGCGCATATTTCAAAATGGAAGTCGGGGAGGACACGACTCCCAAAAAGAGGCAAAATACGAAAAATACAAGGTTAGTCTCGTTCTAAAGATAGTACCATTCTGTGAAGATGAACTTAATTTACTCATAGTACTCAATGTTCTTCCGAATGTAAACCTATTTATCTCAATATAAGGGTCTTAAGTAACTTCTGTGTTCAAAATTTACAGTGTAAAGTTATATTTATATATTTTTATCGTCATTTGCTGTTTATTCAGCCATTGTGTCTTTGTATGTTGGAATATATAGGATCACTCCATCTGATTAAAGCAGCATAATTGGTGTTCAAAACGATAATACGCCATAAACGTGATTTAAACTTTTTTCCTGTCAAACTGCGCGCCTATATTCACATGTATTTCCCAAACTGCGTGCCTAATATTTCCAAACTGCTTGCCTATCCAAGGTTGTGCTGTATTTTTAGAAAACGTAAGCCCCATATGTAAGGCACATATGTGTCTAATAGTAGAACCCCATAATTGAAATACCATGAGAGTCCATCCACCAACTTAATTGTCACTTCTATTATACATTTTGACTTTCAATATGAAAATCATAAAATCTGATGATGAAGCAAAATTTCCAAAGCTCTATGAAAAACACCTACACGTGCCTCTATGGAAATTCCAATGATAATATGTAGTTTTAATAGTGTATGCGTGCAGTTTGTAATTTCTGGCTAAAATAGGCGCGCAGTTTGTGCTTTATTTCTTTTTAATCTCCTGACTATCTGTTTTATCTCGAAATATTTTGAATTATTAATGATAAATGCGTAAGGAAAAAGTAAGTAAAACGAGTCTGAAGTATTTGTCATTTATATTTAAAGTGCTAGATCGATTTACGTATAAATTCCCGTTAAATCAGTGACGAAAATGCCATTAATCTGCTTATGTTTTAAAACTTAGATTCATTTGCACATAGTTTTTGCTAGTATTTGCAAGATTCGTATATTCGCCACAGAATGAACGCATTAAACAAGAAAACAATGCAGGATAAATGTCTTTAAACTACGTTTCAAAATACAGACTCCTCCTTGAATGATGTTATGTTGTTAGGCACGCAGTTTGTGATCGAAACAAACTGCGCGCCTAAGTAGGCGCGCAGCTTGACATGGGCACCGTGATTCAGCTTATAGACTTTTATTACAGCGATCATCAACAGCAGTTGTCTCAACTATGAAAATACTCATTATTATATCTAATAATTTGGAATGATCAGTTTTTATCTGCAATGCATATAGAATGCATAGAATTAAGGATTTCCAACAACGATCGATACCATCAATTCTAAATAAAAAGTGCCCTATACCAAATTCCATGGCGTTCTATGATGCAAGAAGAGAGGGCCATGATATTCCATGATGATATAATTCTAAGAATAACTTCTTGAGAAATTGTATAAATGAGGATTAATTAAAGATTCATTAGAATATGTGCAGTGTCTTAAAAAGTTGACACTCTGTATCTTGGTATGTGTTCCATGAAATCAGCAGATTCAATAAAATCAATAATGTAATTAAAAAATTATGAATAAATAAGTTTATTGTTGTCCTTTTCTGTAGACAATTATTATTATTTGAACAAAAACTGTTTGTATCTTATTTACATTTTCTTGTATGAGCATTGGTGTGCTTGCCACTTTTTAAAAGGTACAGTAAATTAATAATGAATGGTATGCTATCAAAATATTTTCTTTAAGCTGGATCACCCCTTGATAATCACGAAGGAGAAGTTTGATTTATTTCTTTTTTCTTTTTCAGAAGACAGTGGATTATCAATGAAACAATTGACCAGAAATATTACTCAAGAGGACTTTGGGAAAAAATATAGCTGTGGAATGTGTAGCAAAGTATATAGCCTTAAATGGAGCTTAAAAGATCATATAAGAAGACACACTGGAGAAAATCTACGTAAATGTGAACTTTGTTTGAAAACATTCATTAAAAAGTCCCATTACATTCGACATTTAAGGATACATACTGGAGAAAAACCCTTTAAATGTGACATTTGTTCAAAGACATATAGACATAGTTTCCACTTAACTACCCATGTCAAACGAAAACATACTACTTAGAATTAAACTGTTCTGTTCAAAACTACTGTGGATATGTTATACTGATTTCAGTATTGTTTGTGTTTTTCAATAAATTAACTAGCATTTTACCAGTTGTGGGTTGGTTTTTATCTTTTTATGTACTTATATATATAAGTAAAATTGGCTTTCATAAACCTTATATTTAGCTCTCAAGAGACAGGACTTAACCTTATTGTCAATGAGCCAAACTAGATGATGATTGTTGCTACAGAAGTGGCTGAATACATAAAGGTCAAACCTAATGATTTTGTTTTGTTCAAACATTGTCAAACATAAAGAACATAGTATTTAGAGGCCAAAATACAATTTTATTCAAAAAAATTAATCAAAATTAGGCTTATTTGTAGGTCCTGGAATGATTACATTTTACAATGATTTATTTTACAATGATTATAACGAGTCTTACTGCTTTAACACACACTAATTCATTGAATGTAACATCGAGGATAGTGAACAACATTTCAGCATTTATTACAGTCTACCCCTTCTCCTGTTAAATATTTGTGGGAAATGCTCACACAACGGTTCAAGGAATACTCCTACATCAGGCCTAAAAGTTGTCACTTTGTATTTCAATGCCATATAAGAAATATATATATATTCATTTTCTGTCATTTCCCCAGATCAAACTTTTCATTGAATATAAGGGGATTAATTATCCAAACAAACAAAAACGTTTTTTAGGGATAGAGTGAATCCCTGATTTTTCTACAAATATTGATAATGTATATTGGTAAATAGTTTTATTCAAAAAATTGTTTTCCAAAATTGCCGCTGCTTTGGAAATGGCGGGGATGTTTCACAAAAATCTAAATTTCTTTAACATTGCTGGGCTCAGTACCGTTATTCCCCCTCTTTGTCTACTTAGTGGTGTGATTTCTTTTACGTCATGTCTTGTGCCTTATTCCATATAATATTGCACTAAGGTCTTTTTTGCTGTAGGAATCTGATTTCCATATTTATCAATTAATGGAACATAGAAGGAATCTGAAAAACCTCTATAGGGTTTGTGGAGTTGTAAGTGATAAATATCTGTCTAAAAAGAATAGAAACAGAGTTAAAGGAATTATTGGCTATTGATTGCAGTAGAGATAAACTAAGTATACATCCAAATTCAATGTGTAGCTGAGTGTAGCTCACACTAAAACTTATGTATGCAGTATAGATGATCCAAACAAGCGAGAAAAGAATATAAAATACTTCCAAAACCTGATTTTAAACAGTTTTCACTGCACTCAGATAATTGTTGGGTATGCCATAAGGACAACAATCAGCCAACGATCAAGAGGGGCCCCTCAAGAAGAAGAAATACTGTAGTCTGGTTAATATTTCTGTTGACGATGTGATGTACATGAGCACATGACGCCTAAGCCTGCTTGAAAATGTTCTCGCTGAAATCCCTTGCAAAGAGAGAAGCGAACGCCTGGAACATCTTGGTGAATTAGCAGGGGATGACATTCCTGAAATATTTGATTATGTGAAAGGTGGACATTTTCGTGCCCGGATACAATTATTCATTTAAGATAATTCTTATTATTGAAACAATAGTCTCATTCGTTAAAGTCCGTTTTATTGGTCCAATGTCCTTCCTTGCTAGTCTCATCATCAGTTCAGTAACACAAAGTCATTTAACAAGTGACATCCTTGGAAAACTTCTCCCATGTGGCATAGGCCGAACATTGAAGAACTGGCATAGCAGGCAGTCATCTGAACCCCCAACCTGTCCACCTGGGGATTTAATTGTTTCATTTGACAATGAACAGATTGTATGTCGGAGTTGGAATATTGCTGCGGACAATAAAGTGAAATGTTCAGTCGTGACCAATATAAATGCAGTATCAGTGAAACCTGCGATTACTGTCTATCAAGATAAGTCACTCCTACCCAAAAGATGGAGGAAAATTGAAGGTAATGAGGAACTCATTTTTGCAATGGGTATAACTGAACAGGACTTAAAGGAGAGAAGAGAAAATCCTTTGAAAGAACAAACAATTAAAATCAAAGAAATACATTCAAATGAAGAGTATATAAACGTTCATATAAGAGGTTGTCAGTAAGCAAGATCAAGGGACTGACACCCAGACCATTAAAGATCACATTGATGTCTAGGTTGAAAATTCTTTCAAGACAAAAAAATTGGGAAATCTACCAAATGCCACAGGTATACTCAACCAAATAATAAGAGATTATGGTTAAATATCTGTTGTGATGGCTGGACTGGATGGGACATTTGCAATGGGTATTGAGGGCACAAGCAGTGTGTTTAGATGCATTTTCCTATGAAAGTTTGTTATAGTTTTTGTTAATAAATTATACAAACTGGTATATTGAAATATATAGTATTTAGTCGTTGTTTTTTCAAAAAGAGTAAATGTAGTTGATTGCAACATACTCGTAATATGCAAAATACTTGATATTATTTTCAAACATGGGATAAACAGTGAAACCTGCCCCTCTCTTAGTGGAATGCTTCAAAGACCCAAGACTAACTTGCTTCATGTTTATTTGGTGGAACACCTCCCAAGTGGAATGCTTTTTAGAGGTACCAAAAGTGTTCCACTAGATAGGTTTTATCTATTTCATGTTTTCATCATTCTGAAATTGTGTCTCTCATATTCCCTCCTGTAAAAGAGTGTAGGAGATGCACAAAATATAGGTGTTCATATATAACATTCACACATAGCTAGGCAATGAATGTTTGATTCCAGCCAATCTGAACATTGCAGTGCACTATATCACCTATCACTGCATCCAAGGTTACTTGTTAAGTTGTCAATGTGTAGCTTGTAAAGATCCTCTGTGTTGAATGAAGATAAATGCAATTTTGTCAAAATAAACAGTGTTAATAAAATTAAATTAAATGTACAATTGAATGGAAGAAATACTTAGAAGTTGAATCAATAGACTAGATGCGAGTGGAAATAATCTTGAACTTTGAAAATTTAATTTTTTGGGAAAATGTGACTTCTAGTTTGGGGAGATTCCTCAAAAAAACTTTCTCTTATACCTGCAATGCTATCTGACCCGAATGAGCCACCTGATGGTGGAACTGGTAACTACCTACTCGCATCTGAGCAATTTATTATTTTCTTTTTCAGAATGCAGCAAAGCAGTTCAGAAAGATGTGGCTTTTCCTGACAGTTCCCCCCAACAAGATGACAAGATACTCTTCTTCTGTGGTATTTGCCACAAAGCTTACCATCATAAAAGGACACTAAAAGAGCATATGAGAATACACACAGGAGAAAAATTACATCAATGTGAATTTTGTTTGAAAAAAATTATAAAACGCTCTGGTTACATCAGACATGTCAAGACACATACTCGAAAAAAACCAAACCCTAAATGATTGTGAAAGTGAAAATACTTTGAAACTGTTTCCATGGAGATAACAATCTCTAGAAGAACCCCTTTGTAAGTGGTCCGAAGACCAATTGACTTATGTTTGAAATTAACCTCTATAAGTGAAACACCTCGCAAGTAGATTTACTTTTAGAGGTACCAAAGAGCTCCACTTATACAGTAAAACCGGTCTAATCCGAACGCCATTGGGACAGGCTAAAAGCGTTAGAGTGGGAGGTGTTCACATTTCAAAGTTTTTGGATTCGCAATATTCTGGATTCTGAAGAAATGTGAACACATTATGGGTAAATATTTATGGTTCTTTTGACCACATAGCTTAATTTGAAAATTCATGCTAGGAAGCCCCATTATGAATGTGACCATTCAAGATTTTTTCCCAAAGTTTTGATATCATGACAATATTTGAGCAATTTTGTGTGTTATTTTATGATATTTGCTATATATTTCGTTTGTAAAAATGCCAGCCATTTCTGTTTGATGGGATTCGCTACGCTTTGGCGTTGCCGTTGTTCTGGTTTATTTTGCTATGATTAAGTCTTACTACTTAAACACACACTAATTCAATGAATGTAACATCGAGGATAGAGAACAACATTTCAGCATTTATTACAGTCTACCCCTTCCCCTGTTAAATATATGAGAGAAATGCTCACACAACAGTTCAAGGAGTATTCCTACACCAGGTCTAAATGTTGTCACTTAGTATTTCAATTCCATAATTTTCTGTCATTTCCCAAGATCAAACTTTTCATGGAATAAAAGATTAATTAAGATAAGATTAATTATCCAAACAAACAAAAAAGTTATTAAGGGATATAGTGAATTCCTGTTTTTCTATAAATATTGATAATGTATATTGGTAAATAGTTTTATTCAAAAAATTGTTTTCCAAAATTGCCGTTGCTTTGGAAATGGCGGGGATGTTTCACAAAAATCTAAATTTCTTTAACATTGCTGGGCTCAGTACCGTTATTCCCCCTCTTTGTCTACTTAGTGGTGTGATTTCTTTCACGTCATGTCATGTCATGTGCCTTATTCCATCTAATATTGCACTAAGGTCTTTTTTGCTGTAGGAATCTGATTCTCCATATTTATCAATTAATGGAACATAGAAGGAATCTGAAAAACCTCTGTAGGGTTTGTGGAGTTGTAAGTGATAAATATCTGTCTAAAAAGAATAGAAACAGAGTTAAAGGAATTATTGGCTATTGGTTGCAGTAGAGATGAACTAAGGGGAGGCATCAAAAGTTCAATGTCTGATAGGAAACTAAATAAATCTAGTTTTGAGTTGGATCCCCCCCCCCTCCCCCTCAAAACTAAATACAATGAAAGTTGATCGCGGACTTTTCACATGTTTTAGCGACTCAATTTGGACTTTCATGGGGCCAGTACTATAACTTATTTATGATTCTTAAAACATGTGCCAACAACAATAGGCATAATATTCCATGTTGCATGCATCTTGGTGAAGAAGGCATCTGGTAAAGTCTTTATTTTTAAACCATTCCAAGGCATTACGAGTCGAAATTGCGAAAAATTTAAATGTTGAAATTTGTCGGATAGCAAACTGAAATAGCTTTGACCCCCTCCCCCCCCAAACTAGATTTATTTAGTTTTCTATCAGACATTGATCTTTTGATGCCTCCCCTAAGTATACATCCAAATTCAATGTGTAGCTGAGTGTAGCTCACACTAAAACTTATGTATGCATTATAGATGATCCAAACAAGCGAGAAAAGAATATAAAATACTTCCAAAACCTGATTTTAAACAGTTTTCACTGCACTCAGATAATTGCTGGGTATGCCATAAGGACAACAATCAGCCAACGATCAAGAGGGGCCCCTCAAGAAGAAGAAATACTGTAGTCTGGTTAATATTTCTGTTGACGATGTGATGTATATGAGCACATGACGCCTAAGCCTGCTTATAAATGTTCTCGCTGAAATCCCTTGCAAAGAGAGAAGCGAACGCCTGGAACATCTTGGTGAATTAGCAGGAGATGACATTACTGAAATATTTGATTATGTGAAAGGTGGACATTTTCGTGCCCGGATACAATTATTCATTTAAGATAATGTACAAATATTGAATTCTGTGGAGTTGAATATCTGAATATATTTCTGAAGGTGTATTCACCGCAGCACATAATACTAGTATTAAAGTTACAAGTACACAAAATTGTTATGAAATGACGTTTAGTTCCAACGTATTTCCAAAGGTTTGCCGATATTCTGTTATAATTCACGATCTCTGTCACACCATAATATATAAAAATTAGATTCGTAGTCTTCGTGCTTTCATTAGTTGACATTTTGAATACATTTGTAAAATCATTATCCAGCGTTTGTTATACAGTATTGAACCTTTTCTTGGGAGGACTTTGTGATACAACTTCACCGTCTGTCATATCGGATGAAAATACTTTTTACTAAATTCCCGGGAATTCAGTGATGTGACGTCATTTTTAGTGAATACCACTATTTATTCAATTAAAATGACGTCATTTTTAGTGAATACACTCTTCACACATTTTCTAAGCAGGGAGACAAGGAATACCTCTATATATTTTTAGTCACATGGTATCTAATTGACCAATGAGAGAACGAGTATCACGGCATGGAAATAATAATTATTATTGAAAAAATAGTCTCATTGGTTAAAGTCCGTTTTATTGGTCCAATGTCCTTCCTTGCTAGTCTCATCATCAATTCAGTAACACAAAGTCATTTAGCAAGTGACATCCTTGGAAAACTTCTCCCATGTGGCATAGGCCGAACATTGAAGAACTGGCATAGCAGGCAGTCATCTGAACCCCCACCCTGTCCACCTGGGGATTTAATTGTTTCATTTTACGATGAACAGATTGTAGGTCAGAGTTGGAATATTGCTGCGGACAATACAGTGAAATGTTCAGTCGTGACCAATATAAATGCAGTATTAGTGAAACCTGCGGTTACTGTCTATCAAGATAAGTCACTCCTACCCAAAAGATGGAGGAAAATTGAATGTAATGAGGAACTCATTTTTGCAATGGGTATAACTGAACAGGACTTAAAGGAGAGAAGAGAAAATCCTTTGAAAGAACAAACAATTAAAATCAAAGAAATACATTCAAATGAAGAGTATATAAATGATCATACAAGAGGTTGTCAGTAAGCAAGATCAAGGGACTGACACCCAGACCATTAAAGATCACATTGATGTCTATAGGTTGAAAATTCTTTCTAGACAAAAAATTGGGAAATCTACCAAATGCCAAAGGTATACTCAACCAAATAACAAGAGATTATGAGAGATTATGGTTAAATATCTGTTGTGATGGCTGGACTGGATGGGACATTTGCAATGGGTATTGAGTATATATGTCACGATATAGGGACAAAAAATATTGACATTTTAAAAGTACTGTTTATTTCGTTTTGTTATTATGAAAAGTAATTAAGGAACGTTGGCTACCTTGGCTGTTGAAACCTGGTGATATAATCATTATCTTTACGAAGAATAGATTATGTTTTATGCAGGCATTTTAAAACACGTTACTTTGCCTTTAAAACGTTCGTTCATTGTCAATGGATGATTTTTTTGATTTTTTATGTAGCCATTTCTAAAACACGTTACTTTGCCTTTAGAACGTTACCTTAATAGACTTTAAGTTTTCTCTAATAAGATTGGATGCTTTTTATGTACGCATTCTTAAAACACGTTACTTTGTCTTAAAAACGTTACTTTATTGGACTTAAACTGATCTCTACGAATGGATGATTTTTTATGTAGGCCATTTTCAAAACAAAATACTTTGTCAGTAAAACGTTACTTTATTCGACTTTAACAATACTCCACGAAGAATGGATGAATTTTATGTAAGCATTTTCAAAACACGGTGCTTTGCCTTAAAAACGTTACTTTATTGGACTTAAACTTATCTCCACGAAGAATGGATGATTTTATATTAGGTATTTTCAAAACACAGTACTTTGTCAGTAAAACGTTACTTTATTCAACTTTAACCATACTCCACGAAGAATGGATGGCTTTTTATGCAGGCATTTTCAAAACACAGTACTTTGCCTTAAAAACGTTACTTTATTGGACTTTAACTTTTCTCCACGAAGAATGGATGAATTTTTGTGTAGTCTTTTCAAAACACAGTACTTTGTCAGTAAAACGTTACTTTATTCAACTTTAACCATACTCCACGAAGAATGGATGGCTTTTTATGCAGGCATTTTCAAAACACAGTACTTTGCCTTAAAAACGTTACTTTATTGGACTTTAACTTTTCTCCACGAAGAATGGATGAATTTTTGTGTAGTCTTTTCAAAACACAGTACTTTGTCAGTAAAACGTTACTTTATTCAACTTTAACCATACTCCACGAAGAATGGATGGCTTTTTATGCAGGCATTTTCAAAACACAGTACTTTGCCTTAAAAACGTTACTTTATTGGACTTTAACTTTTCTCCACGAAGAATGGATGAATTTTTGTGTAGTCTTTTCAAAACACGTTACTTTGCCTTAAAAACGTTACTTTATTGGACTTTAACTGATCTCCACGAAGAATGGATGATTTTATATTAGGCATTTTCAAAACACAGTACTTTGTCAGTAAAACGTTACTTCATTCGACTTTAACCATACTCCACGAAGAATGGATGGTTTTTTATGTAGGGCCTTCTTAAAACACGTTACTTTGCCTTAAAAACGTTACTTTATTGGACTTTAACTGATCTCCACGAAGAATGGATAATTTTTGATGCAGGTATTTTCAAAACACGTTACTTTGCCTTAAAACGTTACTTTATTGTACTTTAACTGATCTCCACGAAGAATGGATGATTTTTATGCACGCACTTTCAAAACACAGTACTTTGCCTTAAAGACGTAACTTTATTGGATTTTAACTTTTCTCCTCGAAGAATGGATGATTTTTAGGTAGGCATTTTCAAAACACAGTACTTTGTCGATAAAACGTTACTTTCGTGGACTTTAACTTTTCTCCTCGAATAATGGGTGATTTTTTATGTAGGCATTCTAAAAACACAGTACTTTGCCAGTAAAACGTTACTTTTAACTTTATTCCTTCAAGTGTCGAACATTTTAGCCTGGTGTTTTTAAAACGCGTTACTTTGGCCGATTTCCGTAACTTTCTTGTACTCTTAGTTTTCCTCCATCGAGCGTTGGTGAAATTTAGGTAGGCATTTTCAAAAAGCGTTACTTTGGCCCTTTTCCGTTACTTTCTTGGACTTCAGCTTTTTTTGCCCGATTGAGTATTTTGAATGTAAAAAATAAGGAATCAAAGGACGATATTGAACAGTATTTTGTAAAAGTAGAAACAATTGTACGAGGCCTAACTTTTGTATATTTTGGTTTGTTTTGTAGTTAGCTATCATATGTGTGGCCTCTTATATTTCGATGCTTCTCTGCCATGACATTTTCGACACTAAAAATTAAGGCCGCGCCTGGAGAGCCTTAAAATTTAAGGCTCTCTAGCCAAAATGCTAAAGAGCCTTAAATTTTAAGGTTCTTTAGCATTTCGGCTAAAGAGCCTTAAATTTTAAGGCTCTTTAGCATTTTGATAGCCAATTCTGCTAGAGAGCCTTAAAGGAATTCCAGGCGACAGAAATGACGAAATATTGCTTCTGGGACAAGATCAAACGACTTTGACATATTCTATACCCAACCTATTTTGTAATTTAACAAATCAGCACAAATATACATACCATACTAGCAGATATCGGACAAATTCAAAAAGAAATATTTTTTGATCGATAAAATCACTGATTATTAAACCGGGAGTGTCTTCTCTGAGGATGTTACTAAATACCACCTAGGTGTCCCCTTGGGCACCTGGATTTATAATTCCATTTTAAACCACATACACATTTTAAATATAGTATTATTTCCTTTGTCATATTAACTTGACATATAGACATGAAATAATAATTTGTAGTCGAGAATATTGCAAAGAAATGTAAAATAGTGCAATGAAATGTAAAAAGATTTATTGTTAGATGGCCACCCGGAATTTTGTTCATGTATGTATGGTCACTTATTTGTAGTAATAAAACTGTTTTAATGCTAAAATGTTATATTTGAAATATATTTATTGTTCTTACTTGAGTTGCTAATATAGTGAATTTGTGGCATTTTTAGTGGGCAATTAATGAAATATTATCCTAACAAATGGCCTTTTTGACAACGATCAAAATTTTCAAGACAATTAAAAAGATAATGACAAACAGAAATATCTACACAAGTTCCATAAAAATACTTTATTATGTACCATTAAACACTTGGAAAGATGTTAGCTTGAAATAAAGTAGTAAAATATGCCAGTAAGGCATTTCAATGGGGGCACCTAGGTGTGGGGCACCTAGGTGGTATTTAGTACAACCCTTCTCTGAGGTCCGCAAAGAAGATGAAGAAGAAAACATATAAAGATTTCAGTCAATTCAATTTTGCCGTCGATTTAATTTTAAATGGTTTTAAATAATCTTTGAATGCTTACTATGACTTCTATTAGTACTGTTTTGACTTCCCCACTTCATAAACAGAACATAATCACTTTTTACTCGACTCATAAATTAACTTCCGGTCTACCGGGAAAAATAAACGTTCTAAAATCTTTTCAGTCCTCAGTCTAAATTTGACTTTTTAAGGTTCAAACGTTGACTTTGAATGGACCTTTATGCATATATCGAAAATAGGTTCACCAGAGAAGAGAAGGTGTAAAACCAGGCAATCACGTAAAAATGTCTGAGAGTCACATTTATTGATGACTTTGATGCTAGCCTAAAATCGGTGATACATAACAGACTTTTGAGCGGACCGTTCATGCATATATCGAAAATATATGTCTCTGGTTCACCAGAGAAGGTGTAAGACCAGGCAATCACGTATATAGCCAGAAAAAAGTTATTTTTACCATTTTATCCACTATAAATCGCAACGTCCGTTTAGTAAATATTTTGATGTATAGACATTTATTGATGGATTGGAGGCTAGGATAAAAATGTTGTTGTTGTGTTGCATAAGCCGCTGTTTCCACCCGGTGTTTCCTCGACAGTTCACCTCTTGTACTGTAAATTTTCTTTGTGCTCTCTCATCGATGTGCTTAAATTCTCACTCGTGAGGAAAATATTATGCAAAAATATCTCGTCAAGTGAAAAATTCTAAAATCAGCATTGAAATCTAATGGGCAATAGATTTGGAAGTGAATTCTGTGATGTCCCTGGGCTGATGTCCCTGCATTCACGATAAACTGCGTCAAGATGTGCTGATCTAGAAGAAACAAGATCCTTTTTCATCCCCAGGTCTTCATCATACATTTTGCCATCATAAAATGGGATTCCCTGTATTCTCGTGACTATAGCAAAGCCAATACAAGTGATTAATTTGATTAAACATTGATGATTGAGCGATGGAGCAAGCCCAAGAATTCTAGAAAAAAGTGTGTACATGATTTCCGGACCTCAGAGAACAAACTTCCGGCTTGTTATTCAAAATAAAAAGTGCTCCGTCCGGGAATCGAACCCACGCCGCAAAAGTGGAGAGCTAGCACCCTAACCACTATACCAGAGTGTTTTTCCATGATTGGATTAATTTGTTTTGCAACTCTATAGTGATATACATGTGTGAAATTTTTAAGTGGCATTCTGGGTTGAAAAACTTTCAAGAGTGTTGTTTTATTGTTTAGATGACGAACTTCAATAAAAAACAATATAAACACGGATTATAAACACAAAGGCTCTCTAGCATAAACACTATGTTCACAGCTAAATAGCCTTAAATTTTAAGGCTCTTTAGCATTTTGGCTAAAGAGCCTTAAATTTTAAGGTACTCCAGACACTTCGAAAAATTAACATGGATGAAACTCAATAAATTACTGAATGCCACACGTTTGCTGTAACTATCTGAAATACTAAAGTTAGGCCTTGTACATAGGTTTCTATTTGTCCAAATATAGTTGCAATATGGTCATTTGATTGCTTATTTTTTAATTTCAAAGTACTCAATAGATGATTTTGAATCGCATTTTGACGAACTTCAGTTTTGTCTCCGTCAGTCGATAAAAAGCAGTCAAAAGACCACAGTGCAATATTAAATGGAAAAATACATTGATATTCTGATGCAAACGATTGTATTGTTTGTTAGCTCGTGTTTTTAATAATAC